ACCAAAAAGTGGGCGGTGCCACGCCAATTGTCCAATTTCTACCACGGGCTCTAAAAAGCCTTATCATACCATCTCGCCGTCAAATTTGTACGTTTCTGGTATATTTAGTATCGATTTATCGCGCTTTTAATAGTTTTGAACAGTACATTTTTACACTACGCTAGGAGTTCTTATAATATTTACGTTCAGAAAATTTAGTCGCTGTAACTTGTAATATTTAGGAGATATGAACAATAAAATTATTAGATTATTAGGCCAGGATCCCATCTACGTTTTTAAATTGTTGCCTGTTGTTACTGCGATTACAGTTCTATATCTTAATTTAGTGTTTCGTTATGACACTGATGTATATCTATCTCGCTTAGTTTTAGTAGATACGTACAACCGTTGGGTGAACTAGTTTTTATTACAAACGTCGTATTAATATCTATCGACTTACATAATAACACCGCTTCCAGCTGGCGCGTATTTTCGCATATGCACCGTACATTCATTACAACAGCGCATGTCCATTTAAAATGCACGTAAATATTTATAAGTAATTTTGAATGAAATTACTGCAAAAAATATTTTGGCAGTTAACCATGCGGTCATACATTGTGTAATTATGATTTATGACTGACTGGGGCAAAATATTTGCGCGGCTACATTGTGGCCGACAGCGTGGTGGCAATGCAGCGGGTGATCATACACCCACTCCCGAATCACAAAAATACATAAATATGTTCAAAGATTAAGCTGCGTGGGTGTAGTGGCCTTTACATGCCACAAATGGACATAAATAAGCCAATTAATGAAGATTTTTGCGCGGGTGTTGGCACAAAGCCCTTAAACGTGCACAGCAAAACAATGAATTGGAGTTTATAAATGAGCACTATTTAATTTCATCAAAAGAGTTTATCGCTTTCAACGCCAAACCAAAACGCGTGGGAGTTACTAATTAATAGCTAGACCAAAAGCAAGCTTCTATCAACTGAATTCACATTCTGTAGATCATCAAAGCACTTAAAATGTGTCCCTGGGCTATCAGCTATTAATCAAATATTTTTACCTATCTAGAAATAAAATACAAATTTTTAATTGTTTCACTACAAAATTGCACACACTCGCCAGAATGTTTGTTAGGAACATCGCCTCAATTAGTATTGCTGACATTTTTCTGTTTCTTATTTTCCGATTTTGCTTATAAGAGCAGGTAATTTGCACTCCGCGCATTTCGACTAAACTGGGAGAAAGCGCAATTGCTCAATTGCTTATTCTACCTATGTATGAAAACTTGACGACAGCGGAGCGGGTATGCTTGGAGGCTCTTGGCCGATTAGCCACACAGCTGAGAAGAGATAATGTTCGTGCAAAGCTAAATTACGTCGTCGCTCAGCTTATTCGGCACAATTTTAGTTATTTATTTATTTTATTAAATGCAAAACTAAAGATTATCTGATTGTCATTTACTTGGGAGTGGCCAGATCCGATTATTTTACATATGGCTCAAGCAGCTCACGACTTCCGGTCCTAGACAAAGTATCCTCTAGGTAGCCAAAAAACATCCGTTTGAAGGCCAGCTAAAGCGAGTAGGCGAAACATCCCGTCCACAAGGTTGTGCGAGGGTTTGGGACCCTCCACGTAAAAAACGTCCCCAATAAAAAGGAACAAAAAGCCTCGGAAGAGAAACCCGCCTTTTGATGACGGCCGTGGCAAACGAATTAAGGATAACGGTTTAAGAGCATGCACTTGTCCGGATCCTTAATTGGGAAGGTGCCTCTACCTAGCTGGTTTATGCCTTCGTTAGAGTATAGGCTGACATCACCGCAGTCCAATAAATGCAATGGATGGAACAAGGACTGAGGCGAATAAGTCCTTGAGAGGACTCCGTCGCCGAGTACTGTCATTCACCCCGGTGGAGGAACGTAAGATGTAGGATGTGACCAAAGATGTAACCGAAACCATTGATTAAGTGCCTCGCAGCTTAGAGAAAACAGACTGCCTACCTCGCAACGTTACGATCGACCACAACACGTGCGGGATTGTATAGTTATTATTAGTTGAAGAGGGAAGCGAGACGCAATTGCAGAATTGCAAAAGAGAGAGGCTTGTAAAACTGGCCGACAGGTGTGATGCTCGAAAATTCTACAAAAAACTGCGGCGACTAACAGAAGGTTTCAAAACCGGAATATACTCTTGTAGAACCTCCAGAGGGGATCTAGTAACCAGTGCCCAGAGCATACTAAAATTATGGAAGGAACTTTTCTCTAGCCTGCAGAGCGGAGCAGACGTTCCACTGCCCGGCCATGAAGAAATTGGAATAAAAAATGCGGACAATCTTTTTGTTAGGTATATGATGTCTAAGGAAAGTATTTACATTATTATTATTTATAATATTTCAATAAAGAATGTCACATCCCCCTAAAAGGTCGATGTCGAGAATATTGAAGAGACTTCAATTAAAAAAAAAGTTAGTTCATTATTTTCTTTGAGTAAACCAGCGTGTGATCTACACTGAGTAAAATCGCATTATTCAATTACTAAATTGTACTTTTCGGTACACCCTCCTGAAAATAGGCATAAGTTACCAGACTATTACCTTAAAAAAGTGTGTGTTTGAGAAGAACGCGTTTAAAGTTTGAGTTGTGCACTCCGAGCGCTCCGAACGTCGAGCGGTATTCTTATTTTTGGGCCTTTTTCGAAACCTTCCTATGATAAAGTGGGTTTCCACATAAATTCTAAGGGTATAAGAGACCAGAAAATGCAGACATTTTAAAAAAGATTACCCTACTGACCGCTTATTAATATTGTTTAACGAATGGTAATTACTACCGTGAAATGATGGTAAAAGTGTAATACAAGTTCGAAATTATGTTTAATAATTTACTAATACTAGCACACTTGTATACAATATAAATTTACTTGGTAGGCAATAACGTTTGGCACCTGTTGGATGACGCATCACTGATTAAAATGCAGTTGTAACTAAATATGTGAGAAACATTATAAAAACATTTTTATTCATGCATGTGTGTTTTTTTTTTTTTTTTTCATTTCATTCAAACATAATTGTACATGTCGCCGTTTTTCGTGTCTATTTCCATTTTCACAAAAGCAGAGGATTTAAAATCAATGACATTGAAGTGGAAAAGGACTGGGCCGCATTCTAAACTCACATTCTAACTTCACAAAAATTTAAAGTACTCGTATGTGTCTGCATTTGCTTCCATTATAGTAGGCACACAATCACCAAACCGATGTGCAAGTGGAACAGCAAAATGTTCTAGTGCTCCCTCTGTGAAATGCAGCCGGAAGTTGTAATTGCTGTTTGATATATCTAATCCGTTTTCTATCAGTATAGTATAGAGCCTTTGTTCAACTAAAGTAGCAAATGATGAAAGACAGCATCTGTTGTTGTTTGATTGGCATGTAGAAGATATTATATTCTCTCTCTCTTTCTCGAAAACTTTTTTTTCTGCAGTTTCTCAATTTTTTACTAAGTCTTTTTATGCATATATGTACATATGTGTTGAACATACTTTAACATTTAAATAGAAATTGTTTGTCGGTTATGTATTTTTTTTAATAATTTACAAGTAAAATATACTTTTAAACCACAAAACCGTAAAATTCACTTCCAAGGTATATTTCGTGTAGAAATTACATAAAGCGATTTCAGGAGCTCAAAAAATACTCTGTTCAAAAAATTTATTTGGGGATATTCTTACACATTCTTCGTTTTTTAAGTATTTTAGTTTAACTTACATAGGCGTTCTATTAAAGTTTATTGGTAACGATTTATTCATTATAAATTTCTTAATATATTATAATTTTTTTTTGATATTTATTAAATTTTTAATAATCCCAACTTTCAAATTTGCTTGTTAAGAACTAAAGGTCATCGATATCTCTATATCGTCCACACTCAACCATATTTATAATTTTATAGTCATTAAAATTTTTAATGTGTTGTCGTAATTCGACACTAGCGTTAGCTTCCCACATTCATTATTTGACGAAACCCATAACTCCCTTAGTTTGAAAATTATATATTGCTTCATCCCACGATATTTATTTTAAGATAACTTAAATGAGATACATACGTACATATCATTATATCAATCTTCCCGAAGATATGAAATTTAATATATTGAGCATATGAGAAAATTATATTATTGATATGGCGTTTAAAGTAGAGCATAATTTGAGTAAACCATATCTATATCAATTAGTTTTAGGTGACACAAATAACCAATGCGTGAAAAACAAATATTTTTAGCGATTTTGCAGAGCATTTTTAATTTTGTTAACACTGTTATTTTCGAATTTGCTTTCAATTTTAAACTTTTCTCCAAAATCAGCACTCTTTCAATTTTCTGACTGATATACATACGTAGGTACATACATACCATATATTGCATAAAAGCCACCATTAGTCGGGCAGTTAACATATAATTATTTTATTTAAGAATCTTTTCGCTTTATTTCGTTAACTTTTATTTATGATATTTTATTTTTTTAACTATATAAAAACCTACACTCACACTACTCGCAAACAAACGCGCAAAGTTGCGTCACGCAAAGTTCACCTTTCGCATTATGCTGTGCTCCGTCCGATAAATGCGTTTTTGACAACATTGTTGCAGCAAAATTTTCTCTACTTTTATTTAGTTGATATCGTTCGCATTTTTACTGCCGAAAAGTATTTTACCCGTTTGCACATTTCGTAATTTTGTCACCACGCATAGATTTCGAGCACGCACTCTTTGCTAACTTATTTACTACTTCGTGTTTGATTAATTTCCAATTGTTTTTGTTTGCTTTTCATTTTAGCTTTGGCTTTGGCTTGAGTTTGGTTTTATTTGCTTGTTTAAAATTTTCAACACAAACAACACTATAATATTAAAAGTAACCCTATATTTCGTTCAAACAATGCATTGATTTATTTTCGCAACACACTCTTATTTTCACTGTTTGATATCGTCACACTCTTGCATATTCATCAATACAAACCTTACCGTCGTTTGCAATTATTTGAACTTTGGAAGTATGTAAGTTATTATTTTTTTGCCTTTGCTTGTCAGAAAAACTCCGCATCGCACAATTAGCCTTTGTTCGTATATTTTCCCAAATATGTAATTTTAGACCATCCGACTAATGAAATCATATATTAATCGTTGGCAACATTCCCGACACTGACTAACATGGCAACACCAACGCCATCCAAAGCACCTATTGGTTCGAATGGGAACCGCGATCAAACCAGAGAATTTATAAACATAGAGAACACTCACCTCACAACCACAGCATTSACGATGTAAAATGTTAACATTTTTAACAGTTCTCTCACATACTCAAACACATGCAACTTGTTGGAAGGTATAGGAAAAACTGGTATAAAGTTTGATCGTATATGTTTGATCGAGCCCACTTCTATTAAAGTTCTAAACAAGTTACTGAAGAATCATTATTTTAGGTGAAAATTATTAATTATATTAGTATCCGAGATTTATAAAAAAAATAGTTTAAAGTTGTAATTGCTAAGATCCGTTTTATGAGTCACTCTTCATATTGTGTTAGTTTGTATGTGTATCATAACATCGGCTCTCTCGTTCATTGTTGCGAAGATCGGAATCAAAACAGAAAGCCCAACAAAAGTATTGCAGCTGCTATTTGACTGCCGAAAGTGAACAGCTGGTTTTGTTGTTGTTAATGTCAATTACTGGTGCTGCTTTTTATTGACTGTTGTGAACGTGACTGCTGTAGCACGATTGTTAGAGCAGCTGTGGATTACTAATGTAGACTGGGTAAGTTCCATGAAGAAACGAGGATTACAGAGGACTTACTTGGTCTATTGAGAGTAGTTGCAAGCAGTTATTTAGAAAAAGTTATTAATACCAGTATTACAGTTGTTTTAAGTACATATATGCCAGTTTTAAAATCGAAAACAACTTTATTAAGCAAATATCATCGTCCATCTCAATATTATCAGTAATAGTTCCTATGTTCGAGTTATGAAGGACTTCAAGTTATAGAAGCTCAAGTTATGGAAGTTTAACTGTATATCTACATAAATGATTAGCATGACGATTTAGCCATCTACATCTGTGCATTGGCCCGTCTGTATATACGCGAACTAGTCTCCCAGTTTTTGAGATATCGATCGGAAATCCACACATCCTTTTCTCTCCAAGAAGATGCTCTCTTGTCGGAAGCACTGATATCTGTCTACATATATGCTGCCATTCATACTGAGCGATCGGAGTCTGGAGCTTGTATGAAGAACTTTTTAATTTGTTAAAATCAAGAGCACGTGAGGAACCTTTTGTATTTGTGAAGGGGTGCTAAAACTAAGCGAGATGGATATAGTTTTATATGCATATAAATGATCAGGATGACAAGAAAAGTTTAAATCGGAGTGCCTGTCTATCCGTCCGTCCGCGTGTGCAAGCAAAAATTGAGATATCGTAATGAAACCTGGTACTCCAACGAAAACCTATAAAGTGGAATAACAAAGCTAAAAATTAAGGTATAGAACTGTCAATTGACACAGAGGATAGTAGTAGCCAAGGGCAACTGTGGACTGAAAGTTTTGAAAAAATAGGTGTAGTAACGCTCTTTAAATACAATAGCCAAATTCGCTCAAGTGCCTGCCTACCCTCACTATATAAATAGATTTTTTGAGGTTTTTTTTTTTTTTGGGAATGAAAGAAATAATTGATTCAAGTGAAATTTCTAGGCTTTATAGCTATATATTTGAACATCTTTAACAAATTTTTTGGACGGCGGGCAGGATGCAGATCGCAATTTCTATCGGAAACAAAAAATTCTAAAAGGTTCATATTTTTTAATAACTTATCTTCTAGTTAAACTAAGAAAATTCCAAAAAAAGAAGTGTAAAACTAAAAATTGAAAAACAGTGAGTTTTGTCGAAAAGAGATTTTACTTAATGTTGTTTAAAATTATGTTCAAACTTGACTTCTCTTAGTTTATTTATTATAGTTTAAATACTTTAATGTCAAAGATTATAACGACGTTTAGTCGCCAATTAAGAAAAATCGTAAAAATGAAAACCCGAGAAATCGCGCGGCAAAGTTTTCGCTTTTCGCCCAAGCACTCATACACACTCGTATATGTATCTGCTAGACGCTCGGTCACTACTTCCATTCTAGCTTCGATAATATTTCGAATTCCCGCCTATAACTTTGGGGACATATTCTTAGATAAATTTTAAAGAGATTTAAGAAAACAAAATCTATTGTTTGTAGCTTCTAAAGCAGCTACCGCTTAATAATATTGGGTTTCAGAATTTATTAATCTTATAAAAAATTAATTAGCAATTTGGCAAACAAAAATTGATAAATATAAAAAAAATGAGAAAAATAAAAGTTGGAATAACTTATTAACGAAATACAAAGAAATAGATAAAAGTGCTACATTAGAAATAAGTTCCAAGAAATGTTTCGCTTGCCTGGTGCACATGTTTACCGTGTGAAGAACGAACGCAAAATGGGTTTGTGTATCGTGTATGGACGAAACGAATTCACACAGATCAAACGCACATTTGTGTCGTTTATGGACCCTATTACAAAGAAGTTGTGAGCGGTAAGACTTAAGGCCTAACTATAATATGCATACGCTACCGTATGTTATTGTCAAAAGATTAACGAAAGCCTGTAAAATGCATAAGGAACGGAGAGTAGACTTTTGAATGGCTATAATGTACATGCAGAAGAGAAAATTATTAATAAAAAATTTTTGTTTTGATTTTATATTTCGTTTGGGTTTTGCAAAAATTAATAAAAAATTAAAATATCTAAAAATTCCTTACGGAAAATGCGACCAGTTTCGCATTCGCAGTTCGCTTACATAAAGTGCCAAGTGTAAATTTAAATTGCATTATATTAATACTAAATAAGTACTTATAAAGCTTAGAGTGCAAAGTGAATTTGTATAAGCACTATTCCTATACAGGAAAGAAAAACAGAGGATATAATAAATTAAACAAGTGGTTTACATAAGTATTGCGCATTCCATTTTTCAAAAATTCTACATTCATACATATATACATAATCAGGATCACGAGACGAGTCGAAATCCGGTGACTGCCTGTCTGTTCGTCTGTCCGTCTGTGCAAGCGATAACTTCAGTAAAAATTTAGATATCTTAATGAGACTTGGTACACGTGTTTCTTGACAAAAAGAAGCTATAACTAAGCTGTAAATTAAAATGCAGAACTCAAATATGACACAAGGAAACACATTAAAAAGGGACAGCTGTGGTTTGGAAATAGTTAAAAGGTGAACGAGGCCTCTTTCCTTATAAAATTTAATGTACATATCTTGCAAATCAATAAAGCTATATCGTCCAAATTTGCAGTTTCCGTATAATGGTTTAGTTAAAAAATGCGCCAGGCACATGTGGTTTAGCGCTGTGATAGAATGGAATTGGTATATACCATGGCCATAATCTCAAATCCATAATATAAAGAATTTCGATCCTCTGGTTGACCTTTTCCACATTAAATCAATGCAAATAAATTTACATATTTCAATATAAAATGTCGCGATCACCTGGAGTAATTTCTCGGGATTTGATTCTTAAAAGTTAAAAGAGTATAAAATTTTCTAATATCCCCGACCTTAGCCCTTCATTACTTGATTTTTTTTTTTTTGAGAGCCTACAAAGTTTCCAGGTTATTTTCTTCTAATATTTTAATAAATTAATATAATATATTGAGAAAAACCTTTGCTCAAAGCAAGTTTTTTTTATTTACCTGTGTAATTAGAGTTAGAGGGTTTGGCAAATCTTTGCTAATAAGCACTTTTTCATTTAAGCTGCAGATATGTTTACTCAGAAAGCAAATTACGTTCCATATACTCATATTTAACTAGTAGATATGTACTTGTGTAATGCACCCAGCGAGTCAACATGCTCTACATTCATTCTTCTCAATGATTCAGCGAACATAATGTGACGCTATAAACGAAAGCGAATTTCTTTAACAAATACTGTGCCCTAGAGCGGCTCGTTAAAGTATAACACATCTAAGCATTTCTTCTTCTTCTTCTTTAATGGCGTGGACGACGCATACGCGTTTATAGCCGAGTACTTATACAACAGCGCGCTACCTGTTCTAAACCTGACTTCCCTAATGGATTGGGGATCTTCGCCTTCCTCTGTTTCTCTCATCGAATACTGCACTGAATACTTTCAGAGCTGGCGCGTTTGCATCCATTCGTACGACATGACCTAGCTGAACTAAGTCAATGTCGTCGTATTTGTCATTCAGCTCATCATCGACTGCGGTTTTCGCCGTCGTCCGTTTTTTGTAATAAGCTAACCAAATATTACTCAGTAAAAGGAAATGTCTTTTACACACCCTTTTCATATTAGTATGTAAGCATAAAACAATTTTGCCCTTCTAACCAAATATCAATGCCCCGAAGATAGTAGTTTCGTCGGTTAAGGTGGTGGTTAGGTTAAAAAAAAGGATATACATATAGTATTTGCGTTTTTTAAGGGTTTGAAAGGTGATGTATTTCTCGAGGTCATCAGAACGAGTGTTTTTCTGTTTTTTTTTTTTTTTTTGCAGCGCTTGGAAGCAAAACGCGGTTAATTTTCAACATAGACAACATTGTTGATCGATTCGTGACTGATTTGATGCAAAAAGCAATCTAATCGTTTGCAATCACGATCGAGTAAACTGTTTGGCTGGCTTCGGTTCAAATCGTGACATGGTACGCGTTGCTACGATTGTTTGAAACGATGTGAAACTACGAGTAAATCTACGAATACAGCAAACAACAACAATTTTCTGCTGGATTGACTTGGATCATGTGTGGCAAGAAATATATCAGCTTTGAATATCTGCGCATGTTACAAATTTTCGATATATACTACATATTTCTTGTATGTATTCACTCAATTCAATTTCCATTATACATATAACATATGCATATATATACATATGTATTTGAAATAGAACAGAAGTGCGCCAGTAAATCAGTGTTTACAAACCGAGCGCTGTCGATCATTTCAATCATTGAAGCATAAGTATGCATCATTTCGGGAATTTTCTGCTAATGCGAACGTTCATAAACAAATCAGGTATAAGCTGATCGCTAGTGATTCAAAGTTGTTCTCTACCGCTGATTTGAAGACAAACGGTTCGATTCGTGCA